GAGGAGAAGGAGGAGGAGGAGAGGGGAAGACTGAGAAGGGAACTGAGGGGTGTTTTTAAGAGAGCTTGGCCTAATTCTGGCAGGAAGGTCTCTAAGCTCGAAACTTTGCATTCATGACAATTATCGAACCTTTTTGAAAAATAAACATAAAAAACAACAAAAATAAACACTATCCTTGTTCCCCGAATTCCATTGTGCAAACCCTTTTCTCGCAAAAAAAAGACAATTTCTACAAGCACGCTCAGTGAAATATCTTTCGCAGTATTTCATGAATTTTTTCAAATGGTTCGAAGGAATCCTATTTATCCGTTCAAAGCTGCAAATTGCACATTTCGATCTCGCTGGACTTTGGCTCTGTGATTTTTGAATTGATTAGCACTGCAAAGACTAATCTTCGCAGGAGCATTCAATAAATTTGTTGGAAAGTCTCCCTCCTCCCCCTCCCCCGCCCACGTGCATTTGTATTAGGTAAATCTTGATTTTAAATCTAGCAGTGAGCACAGTTTGATCTGGCATAATGACGTCCCAATAACGAGGAAGGATACGTTACAGTTGCAAAAACCATTTTAGCCGGCAGTTTTCAGAAAAATGTCTTAAGCTTTCTTCAAGTTTTCTGTGCCACACAGGTTTGTTAAGAAAGAAATGCCAGGTTTTAAAAAACGAAAACATACGAGATATGTAAAATTAGCTTTTAAAAGAATTTACATTTCAAGTCTAAACCTATATAAAAAGCGATGTGCAAGCTTCAGTATTCTGTTACTGCTTAGCGCTTTCCAAGGTTGAGAGGCACATCATCATAAGTTGAGACTGAGTTTCGGCTTGGATCAGATGTGTTAAATAATATATTTGTGGGGATTTCAAATAAAAAAAATAAGAAGTGCTCTTGCTAAGATGTTTTTGCAGTGAGAACAACAAAGGTTGAATCAAAGCTATTCACTCATTACTTGCTCGTTTCTTTGAAAGTACGGTATTGTGGCACCTCTCAAACTGCTCTTTTATCATATTAGGTAAACGAAAACGTCAAGTTGTTAGATCCATTTGTTAAATCCATAGTCGTAAAAATTCAACATTGAATGTATCTGCCTCATCCCACTCACTAGCGACCCGTAGGGTCGTTAGTTTTAAGTATAAGTCATTCGAAATAAATGTTAGTAAAGACTTTCATCTATCAAGAATAATGACATATCAAAATAAGGGGGGGAAGGAGACAGGTTGTAGGATTACGGTTCACATCCATGTTTCTTTTTTCACTACTTAATCTGTAGGATGCTTTATGCCAGCCACCTCGCAGGCAAACCTAATCCCTCTCAACGTGTCTTGACATGTGAGATTTCATTGTGGGATTCATTAATTCATGGCCTCAAATCAAAAAAAGGGCTCCTTGTCAAATGGTCTAGTGGTCGGCTAAAACGCCGAGCATCTGAAGTCAAGCCGCAGCTCCGTCGAGTGTTCTGCGATAATGCGTAAGGCGGCTTCTCAACATCTATAGCGCCTCCTCAAGTAGCAAAACGAGACTCTGAGTTTGAGAAGTGAAACTAGCAGTTAACTTGCTTTGAGTCTAACTTTCAAAGCGAAACTCAGAGTTGAGGCGCAGCTTTCATCGGAGATTCAACCTAGTTATCACCGGTCTAAAATTGAGCTTCACACTTCCGATGGAATATGGTTTGTGCGGAGACGATTGGTAGCTATTTTTAAAACTTGCTTTGCTCTGCCGAATAATGATGAAATAATGATAATGATAATAATCCAAGTTGCATTAAATAAAGGAGAGAGTTAAGAAGGCGATATGGCAAAATTAAAAAAGAATTATGAGAGAATGTAGCGGTTGCAAAGCAGAAAGAGGCATTTTCTACAGAGCTGTCCAAATCTTGATTCCGATATAATATAAAAGTTTCAAAGTTATCTATACATTTACTTAAAACGATTTGGCCTCAAAATCTAAGAATCGAAGTCTGATGAGGCTTTTTGTCATTGACGAATTTTGAGGATTATCAGCGCATTCTGTGATTTTCGAAGGCGCCAGCTTTCGATTTTTTTTTACTCAGCAATTTTTTTCCCTCGAGCTTGGAATTCAGCATCTGCCAGCACTTTATCGGCAATTTCCACTCCATTTGATTTGAGTTGTGCGCGGCTTCATCTTTCTTTCAATACCGTAAACCCTCGCTCTTACCAGTTTGAAGAAATACATCCCTTTTATGTCGTTATTCGTTATATGTCGTTATTTGAATACAAATAATTTGTACATATTTGTTTACCCTGTAGTGAAGTTCAAGCAAAAAGGATGTGTACGCGTTTGTTCCGAACCATTTATTCAGTCTCCCCGGGACTTAAGAAAAAACTCTTGAGTTCCTCGAAACTGTTTAAATGTTACGTACCAACATTTTATAGAAGCAAGGCAGCCTATAACATTCTTTAGAGCATCACAAATGCCCTCAGCAATGAGTTAAAAATTGCTTCTTAAACTGCTCTCGTACGAATTAAGCCAGGAGAGAGCCGAAATGGTGGCGAAAAGTATCCCTCTGCTACAATCAATCAAATTCCGGAAACCCTGATACTCGTCTCTTTAAGCAACTAATACGTTCACCTTACAAAGTGAAAAATACCAGCGTAAGTTGGCTATTGAAGGAGATATGTAGATCCTAGGCGCGTCTCTAAACTTTGTTTCCAAATCTTCTTCCCTTTTGCACAGAACAACTCCCCAAAAAAGTTATGAGCGTTTGAATGTCCAAATTCATCAAGCATTAGGATGAAAGATCAAAGGATTCGTCTTCACCTCTGCGGGCCTGCACCGAACCACTACATCATAGATAGGCTATGAATGCGTGCAAGCCTATCGCAGTGACTTGCGTGTGCCAGCCGATTACCAAGTAAGCGTTTTTGTCCCCCTGAATTACTCTGGTACCAACTGCCTGCCCCCGGAGGGTGGAGGGCTTGGTTGGCCCTGGAGCGGAGATCGTACCTTGATCCGATCTGCTCATGGCGGCGCCTCGTACCACTAGGCGCCCATCTTGTCATTAAGAGGCTCAAAATTAGGAAAAAGCTCTCAGAAATAATTTGCGGATTTCCACAGGCTATATTCCTTCCTTGTAATCAATATACTCAATACAAAATTGATTACCCACTCTTAGGGCCGCATGCACTAACATCCCTGCGGCGAGGGGAGCGACGTCCCCAATGATGAAAAAGTCGCAGCGGCGTCCGCACGCGGTCCCTTCATAACGGGGGACGCCGCTCCCCTCGCCGCAGAAATGTTAGTGCATACGGGCCTTAGATGTCTTACAAGGGAAGTACCCCGAGTGGCCGTGGCCTTTTAATATGAGAGGCATATCGTCTGAAGCAGCTTCGAACGCTGATTTCAAATCTGCTTTCCATTTTTGCGGAACGTTCTTCTGAAGAGAGTTATGGAAGCCTACCCTATTTTGGAGGCGCTCCTTGAGTTTGAGAGCGCTGCTATGTGCGTTGGTGGTGCAGTGGTGTAATGGTTAGTTGTTGGCATTGAAGGCGAAAGATCACTGGTTCGAATCCGATGCAGAGCGAACCGTTTTGCATTATTGTGAGTTTAAAAAGCACTCTAATTCGTCTGCAGACACTGTTGTAGGCACTATTGTGGGCAAATGTGACCTAAGGAGAAAATTTTCTGGCAGAACCGTTTGCTTGTTGAGAATTGGTTTTCTCTGCAAAAAAATTTATGTACGGAGAAAAGTAGCGAAATTAGATTGGGAAGCGGAATTACAAAGTGGGGAAAACACAGACATTTCTCGATTCACATTCCATTCAATTCACATTCCTTAAACACGCTTGTGAGCACAAAGGCAGGAGAGAACATCTTCTCAATTAATGATAATTCGCATTTTTGAATATGGTGATGAACATGCTTCACCATGTTTGGTCCTGTTTTACTAGTGATAAAGTCAAGTAGAGTTCAGGGTCTCATTACAAGCCGTTCTGCCAAAAAATTTTTTCTTAGGTCACATTTGCCTACAACAGTGTCTGTGGACGAATTAGAGTGCTTTTTAAACTCACATTCATAATGCAAAACGGTTCGCTCTGCACCGGATTCGAACCAGTGACCTTTCGCCTTTAATGCCAACAACTAACCATTACACCACTGCACCACCAACGCACATAGCAGCGCTCTCAAACTCAAGGAGCGCCTCCAAAATAGGATTTTCAGGCTTCCATAACTCTCTTCAGAAGAAAGTTCCGTAGAAACGGAAAGCCGATTTGAAATCAGCGTTCGAAGCTGCTTCAGACGATATGCATCTCATATTAAAAGGCCACGGCCACTCGGGGTACTTCCCTTGTTAGTAAAGCTTTTCGCTAATTTTGGGTCACTTACATGACAAATTTGGACATTCGAACTCTCCTAACTTCCTTGGGAATGTTGCTCCGCAGAAATGGAAAACGGATTTGGAATTCATCTCGTCCTTAATCTCCAATTCTGTTAGTATCCTTCCCTTGTAGAACAGGATCATTAGTTTTTAGTGTACATTTTCAGAATTGTTGAACTAGTTGGAATGATGAGTAAACAGGATAAATTTAATTTTCATGTAGGCGATACAAATTTGCTAAATGTTGTAAGGATGTAGAGGGCACGTCAATTTTTTTTGACACGTGGCAGGGAATCCTTTTGATGAAAATGCAACTAAACATTTGGCAGGTAGCACCAGTATTCCTTTTTTTAAATGGGTCCGTATAACGGAAAAGTGCTGAGAACTGTTATAGAAATGTATGTTTGATGTTGCAAAACTCAACTGCCAACCTAACGTTTACAGATGAAAACAAATCACTTATGCAAATTTGTAACTCTTATAGGCTACTTCCAAAATTCCGCCGCACAAAATGGTGGGGATTGGGGTTTTAACACTGGTAAACGTGATTACTGGCTTCGTTTGACAGTCAGTGCTGATTTTTTTTGCAAAAAAGTCCCTCTCCGCAATTTGAATTAAGTTTGTAAATTGCGCTAAATATGATTAGACATTGAACAACTTTTTTTACAGGGTGCCTTCATCTTTATCCTGCTTGTAGTTCTCAACGAAAATGTTCGATCAACTGTAGTACGCTGCCTGCGCGACAAGATTAAATCTGTTAATAGCAGGTATGCTTAGCTTCCTAGCACTGAGCGCGTTTGTAAAATACATTAATATATGGCCCAGTACGAGGATGGCAAATCTCAAGCTGGAAGGCGTCTCTTGGGAAAGCAAAGTCGGATTGCAGATGTATATTATATCATACACTGCGTCACTCACACATTCCTGCCTCTTAACGAAAGCTTTTGCACTGTAGGCTCAAGTCGCAGGATGCATAAACGCGCAACTGACTCGCATAGCACATTAGGTCGCCGAAAGAGGCGGTTCCTCGCGGACATTCCAATAAACCTTGTGCCTTCACCATTAGTGCCTCATGTGCTGGCTGTCCGTGTGGGCGACTACCGACAACCTAATGTCCTCCATCCGCGCGTTTGTGCACTTCACACGGCACTGTGACTGTAACAGATAAGGATATCACATCAAATATGGTTCATAAACGGACAAGCTAGGAAGAAAAGAACTACAGAGAATTGTGGAAAGAATCATGTGAATAAAGGTTGCAACAAGCTGTACTCTGAAATTTTCCCACATAAAAACCGAAAACTCATTTTCAACGCACAACGTAAAAAATATAGAATGATAGCAAAAAGTTCTTGAAAAGAAAGCATACCCCAATCAAATGCCTGGGCAGGTCACGTGATCAAAGGCAATTATAAAATTAAAGTGGCACAGACAAATCTTTCCAAGTGCCTATTGCCATCCTTGTAAGTGAACTGCATTAGTGGCAGAAGAAAAAAAATAAACCAACTGCAGATTATGAATATGCTAATCATTTTGTATGGAAATGCAGTGGATGGCAGACACCATATGCTTAGGAAGTTTAAGCATATATATTATATATATATATTAATATATCGGTCCACAACCTGTATACTATAAGATCAAAAAGCAAACAAAAGCGCAATTTTTTTACGAGGTGTCTGTGCAGGAATGATATCCACGAAAGTCCCCGCGAAATGGGCTTTTCGTGCGAATAATGGACTTAGTCCATGCGGTGCGATAAGACATCGCATTCGCGAATACATTCATTCCATACAAAAATGCTTCAACTAACCTTTCTTCAACTTGCCTCGACCTGTTTGCTCACTCTTGCAAACTCATTTCCACCAAGTGGTCGATATCTAACTAGGCTGACCTAACATTACAATGTCACTCAAGTGGCTATTCTATTCTTTCCCACTTCGTTACACCTCACAGAATGCCATTCATTATCGATGACTATGCATCTAAATCACTTCCAAGACCAAAATTTATGTAATATCCGGGCTTTCGCTTCAAAACTTCTACGAATCAGCATTAAATCGAATTCATAAGTGGAGATTTCTGCAAAAAGCAAACTTTGGCTAGAGTTGCACTGCAATCTGTGAACCAAAGTGCTCTTTACAAAAAACCTTGTACTACACTACAACTCAAAGGGTTTTTCAAGTCGCAAAAACTTTGAATCCCAAAAGATGACTTCGCAAGTGCTCTATACTAGCTTTTCTTTGTCTTTCAGCGCTAATATTTATAACTTTAAGCAGTTAATGTATGGACAAATCTAGTGAGAAATTTTTCGCAGAATTTCTCTAGCTAGCTAGCGGCACTTCAGTAATTCTTGCGAACCAAACTTAAAGTTGCGTTTAAAATGCCGTCTTTGAGGTTCGGTTCTACAAGAATAGCCAAAGATAGCTTCTAAGTAATTACACTGAAGTACAATTTTTTTCAAATTTTAGATTACAAATCATGAATTTGGTTTTGGTTGATGATTTGAAGAGTTAACAAACTTTATTTGATTTACATAAGAGTTTTCTGATTGACCTGATATTAAGAAGCATTTGAGTTTGTTGGCGAATACTTTGGTGATCTACCCTTCTTCCATAATTTTTATAGCACTGAGAAAGAAACACTCATTTCAGACTCCATAAAAGACGTAAAACTTTTTCCACTCACTTGTTACCTCCAAAAAGGCTAAGGAACACATCCTCATAAAATCTCAGTCAAAAATATGCAAAAAGGTCAAATATGGGCTTAGTCCCAGCTCACCTTGCTGCTGGGAGTAAAATGGGTCAAGTCCATTTAAAATGGAGGTAAATCCCATTTTGCCCCATTCTAAATGGACTTTTGACGTCATCATTTCGCAAGCGAGAGCTCAGGTAGGGTTAAATCATTTTAATTTCACCGCTTTGCCTCGTGGTTGCGATGGATGAAAATTTTTGGATAACGCGAGCGAAAGCAGATTCCGACCACTCTTCACCGCGAACGAATAAAATGGGGCTTGAAAGTCCATTTTCCTCCATTATGGACTTTCGTGAATATCGTTCCAGTTCTACAATTCGGACAGTTCCTCGGAAAGCGAAGGCTGTTACAAAAGCGGCTGCATCCTTCCGTTATGCCGGTACCAAATAGGGTATAAATAGCCGCGCCTAGGCTTCTACAGTTCGAGTTCCTTTCTCAAGGTACTCACTACGACTGTGTTTGAATTGGCAACGTGCCGAAAAAAGTTTCCGTGTAATGGTTTGCAGTAGAAAGATTTCGAACGAGGGGTTTGAAAGATGGTGATGACTTGGAAAGCGATTGAAGAGGGACATATATGGGCATTTAAGAGAAGCGAATTTACCTCAAATATGCGCAACATTTCAAAAAATCATGACTTCTTCGTATCTTGATGGATTCCTTCAGAAATAATTCTTTATGGAAGCACGATAAAACTCTTTACTCAGACAATTACTGCGAGCATCCGCAGCCCCTAACGGTGCCTTTCGGCGGTGGGCGGGCGTTGAATTCTTGGAATGACCATCCGCGGCCCTAGAATTATTTGCTTGGCGACCCGCGGCTCAGTGTTATCGCTAAGGAAAGGCCGCGGGCCTTAAAAGTTTTATCGGAACACCCGCGGCCCAAGGAAAAGCACTCGGGCGAGCCCCGGGCCTTACTGGACGCACTGCATATTCAGTTCTCGGGCGATCCACGGGCCTTTAGGCCACGGCCCGACAGAGTCACTCCAACGAGCCCCGGGTCTTGCATGACCGCACATTTAATACACGCTATAGGAGAGACGCTACTCGCATGAGATACGCCGTGGTAATAGGGCTACCCTCAACGTTTGTGTCGTTAGTTAGTCAAAAGTCAAGTAGCATCAAGTTCTTGTTCATCAATAGTGTCTCGGATGAGCCCCATTGGACTATTTGGTCCTGAGATCAAATAAACTGTCGGAAACTCTGTTATGGTGGTGTAGATGTAGCGAAACTTTGGGAATGAAAGGTATGAACTCCTATTAGTCCTGCCGAGATGTAATGCCACCTCCCCCCCCCTTCCACCCAGATGCATATTGCGCACTTATCGGGCGCCTGCCGGGCCACCCGCTGGCGTTGTTCGGGCGCTTATCGGGTCACCCGCGAGCATTGTCGGGCGCTTACCGGGCACTTATCGGCGCGCCCTCGGGATAGGCGTGGCGTCTCCCGTGGGTGGCCGGCGGGTGCTCGCCATAATTGTCTGAGTACAGCAGTACGCTTCCGGCGAAATAGTATGGGAAAATTCGAGAGAGATAGAAACAATTGAAACAGATTGCCCAAGATTGGCATTTTGAAGCAGGTTTACGAAAATTTCTGCAAGTAATTTTGTTTAAAAGAAAAAACTTTGCACATAAGTGGGACCTTTGCCATGAATCAGTATGAAATATTAGGTCGTTCCGAAAGTAATGTCGCTTTTTTCAAACGTACGCCACATCTCGTGGAACAAAGATATGTAAGAGATTCTGGTAGCATTTAATGCAGCAATTCACACTCTTTCTAATGGTTATATAACCACTGCACAAAATTCAATAACCTCTCAAAAAATTATAAAAATCTGCGACCCATGCATTTTGAGAATGCCAAGTTTCACAATTTTTCTAAATTTTTACAACAATCCTCGGAAGGAGTCCAAGTAATGGATGGATAGCGCAAACCCTACAGGAAACACCATGACTTTTTTCTACTTTTTAAAGCTCGTCATAATTTTTGTATAGATTTTTTGATGGAACCACCGAATTTTAGCATTCTTGCCTCAGACACGAATGCATCAAACACCAAAAAATCTTCGGATTTGGAAACTTGCAAAGATGTATTATTGTTTGGCACCAATTTTACAAAGCAAATCAGCGTTTACCGCTTCAGATTAGCAACTTTCGAAAATTCCGGGTACAGCCTGGGGCACCCTGGAAAATCTGAATTATGATGATTTTATCCCGAAAAACTTGATGAATCAAAAACAAAAAACAATTGTTAGAAAGAGGAGAAAAAGCTGCGTCGAACGACACCCGAGTCGCTTGCCGGTTGTTGTTCTGTGAGGTTTGAGATGACCAAATATGGAATTTGTTAGCATTGAACAATTGATTCCAGGGATCTAAAAAGCCAGCTGAGGAAAAGAAAAAATAACCCTGCGTCCTATAGGATTTGCTCTATCTAACTGTCACTTGCACTTTTCTGGAGTATAAGTACAAAAATTCAAAAAAATGGCCGAACTTGACCATGGCAAAAAGATGAGTCGCAGATTTTGGTGATTTTTCGAGAGCTCATTGAATATTATGCAATGCAATTAGAACCATGAAAAAATGATGAAATGCTGCATCGAATCCTCCTAAGCCTCCTAAAAATCTTGATTCCATGAAATGTGGCGTTCATTTGAAAAAAGCGACATTACTTTCGGAACGACCTAATAGTTTGAGAATTGAGTAAATGAAGAGAAAGTTCTGCAATTTTTGAACATGCTCAAAAAACCTGAAACGTCACAGCAGACACCGAACCTGTTATAAACATGGATTTTATGAAATTCTCTTACTGGGTTGTGTAATAAGTTATCAATAATTTGCGAAGCATTTGAAGAGATGTATGTATGCGTGAAGCTCTCTACGTTTATGGACAAGGAGTTGTAAGCGTTCATTGAAGCCAAAAATTGAATATGCATTTTGGAATGAGTTGCTAAAATCTTGACAACCCTCAAATAATGCAACCAAATGTGTTACATTTTTTATTTTAGAGAGTATTTTTGAATA